GTCTGTAAAGTTTAAAGGACTGTTTATTGGAATGTAATTGTATTTTTTATTTTTCAATTTCTTTTAGCTCTTACGGTGAGTTCGTATTATACCGTTCGAATAAAAGGGATATGAACCATCAGTAAAAGAGTCCAACCATCTATTAGCCGGGGACGCTACAGTTTGGAACACTCAAAGTTGGTGAAAACAAATCCTTTTAGACTTTAAAGAACTATGTAAATAAAAGAGGTTTGGTTCGGAAAAGGAAAAAAAAAAGAGCCAATCGTATTTGTGATTTTTGATGGCGTCGGCACGGCTTAATAGCTGGTTCAGAGGAGTAAAAATGCATTGTGCCGACGTACAGACGAGTAAAGCGCGACGGGTGCGCGTCTTCTCGTTAAAAACCGCACGATGCTTCTGTTCTACACACGTCTGGTGTCAGCCTGCGGGAGCTGCAGCTTTTCGGGCAAATCCAGGACACAAAACAAGAGGAGGAGTAAGTGAATCAATGTCTCTGGAGGCAAAGGCTTCCATTTCTGACCCCCCCCCCTCACTGCCTACACTGAGACAACAGACATGAAAATCTCTTTAAGTCCCCGTAGCCTGCAGCTTTGCGTGATGGACTCTCCCAGTACCTGTGCCGGCAACAAAGACACGGCCACCGTTATTATCGCAAAAAAAAAAAAAAAATTAAAAAAAAAATGGCTCCAGATTCCCCGCCGCGAGCATCTGAACACCCACCGCCTTCACTCCGAGATAAAAAAACCCCGTAGCGTGTTAGAGGAGCAGAGGGGCGGGTGTGTGTCAGCTAGAGCAGGAAAAAAAAAAAAAGAAGATAGCACAAAAAAGATGGATGAAGCCGGAGTGACATACAACCTGACACATTCACAAAAGAAAACATCGACCACCCCGCTCACAAAGGCCAGGGGATGAAATGATGTAGCTTTTTCTTTCTTCTTTTCTTCCCCGGGACAGTTTTCCCCCTTCGTTCCTACAGCAGGTACCAATTCTTGTCCAATTTTAGACACCGTAATTGTGGTGGCAATTTTTTTATTTTTTATTTTTTCCCCCACGCTGCATGGCCGTGCATACAGAAGCGCGCGGCACATTGTGTGGCTGATGAAATCCAGTTGGAGACAAACGCCTTTGACCTTGCGTGGCTTTGAGAGTGCGATAGCTGCATGGGTGTAGGAAAATCAATATTCTGCATTTAGCTGTGCATGACCCCCTGTGTTAAATGGAGCTGCGTACAGCTAAGACGGTTTATTTTGCAGGGGCCCGCCAAACACACGCGGGGAAAGGACCCTCAAGCTACATCGTTTTAAAGGTGATTAAAACGAGGATAATTAGTTTATCGCGGAGAGCTGTGAGCGACTCCGCGGAGGAAGCCGCGATTAAATCACTGAGATTTCACCTTAGATTGCAGAATGAGCTTCTCAGAAACGGCAGCGCGCTGAACTTGAGAAATCTTATAATCCTGCTTCGGTCTTCTTTTTTTTTCTATTTAAAGTGGAGCGTTATCCGAGGTGATCTGAAGTTTGGTGGAAAAAAAGGCTCCACCAGACACAGACATACTCACAGGAAGTGCTCCTCCTGAGTTTTAAAAAGAAAATGAGCAGAAATGTTTTCACCCCACTACCCTTCAGGGCCTGCTCCTCATATCATCCTGTGTTTGCTCCAAAACGTCCAAACTGTATCAGGCTCACTGTCCAGAGTTACTCCACACACACTTTTTAAAAATTCTATTATACCCTCAGACACCTAAATCTCTTTTACAGCTTGTGTAAGTGTTCTGTACAAACTTTTCCAGCTAATTAGGGGACTGTCATTTCTTAGTTTGTAAAATAATCTGTTACTGTCGGGACTGTAAAAATGTATTTTGTCCAACTGGGCTCAGCGATAAAAGCCAGCTCCTCCTAACGCCTGACCCCCTCCTATGCTGACCTCAGATCTACGTCTACAGTCTACCGTCCAGGCTCCTGCCCTCATCTATGGTCACAAGCTTTGGGTCGTGACCAAAGAATGAGATTGCAGATCCAAACAAGCATGTGGCTCGTGCATCTGATTAGGACGCCTTCCGGACAGGGTTGTCACGATACTAAAATGTTCAACTCGATACTGATACTCAGGAAAATATTCAATACTCGATACCATTTTCGATACCACAAGGATAAAAACAAAGACCCCAAAATTAGACAGAATTTTGATAGGTTAGTGTCTTTGGTTTCAAACTGACCTGTTAGTGATGTTATCGTGGCCGGTGGCCCGCATTAATGACCCTAATCCTAACCCTAACACTGACCCTCCACCCTACTTAATTGTGAGAAATAAATATATTTTGGTTAAAATTATTTTGACTATTTTAACATAATATTATGTATAGAGTTGAATTCGGTGTTTGCAAGATTAATTTAAGTATTTTTAAATTAATGTAGGCTATATATTGCCATGAAGAAATCATGATTTTCTTGCCTGGGATCTTCCTATTGGTGACCTAATCAAAATGGCCGACTTGGATGTGGGCAGAGTTGGATATCAGTCCGTGGCTTCCTGCAGTCTGCAGCCAGACGGACTTGATTAATGTTGGCGTGTTATTATTAGACATTGTTACTTTTGAAATTGAGTATCGTATCCGGAGACAACGTTTTAGTGTTGATGCTTTTTTGAGTATCGATACTTTTGAAGACCCTCCTTCCGGACACCCCCCTGGTGAGGTGTGTGGGGAATATCCCAGCATGGGAAACCCAGAGGACGACCCAGGACATGCTGAAGGGACAGTGTTTCTCAGCTGGCCTGGGAAAACACTTTTTTTTTTCTTCTTTCATGATTCGTGATTATTTCATAGATGTTCTTTAGTGTAGGCATAAATGTAAAGATCCTGACTTCTGATGTTTTCTTTCCGGAAACCAACTGCTGACACATCAGCTCACAAGATGCTTCAGAAATCAGGGAAATGTGCTACATGGTGATTATCGTGCTCAGATATCAGGGAAATGACACAAATCTCTGGAATGAATTCCTAATCGTACAGAAGACTTGGTTCTTAAACGGAACTCACTTTTGTCCTTGGTTGCTGTAGCTGTTGTCGTATGATTCGTATCCCTGGTCGTCGTAAGCCGTTCCGTATCCATCGTCATATTCCTGAAAGAAACAAAAGACCAACAAATACTGGAGTTAGGAGATACACATGCAGTGCACAATCCAGTTCAGCCGGCAGCCTCATTCCAGATGTGTGTGTGTTCTTGCCCTCCTTCGCCGTGTCACACTCGTGACAGTGGGGCGTGAGGATTGTTGCCGTCTCCATGTTTTCATTTCATCAGCACCTCAAAGGATGAGCCTGGAACATCTGTCTGTACTCTCCCGATCTAACCCCCCACCCCTCAGTCAGGGCCTCCGCCAACAGGAACATCAAAGCCCACCAGTGTGGCGCCTGTCCTAATTTGGGATAAATGGGACTTATGTTCCACAAAAGGCATCGACCCAGTGCGACATATATCCCCCCCCCCCCCCCCCCCCCCTTATTTGCACACTCCGAACTAATGCCTGTTAGATGGAGCACCAGAAAAAAAAAACGTTCCCTCACTCCTATCCGTTTTTAAGGCGCTACATGAAAATGACTTGTTTGCCAGACGATAGTATTTGGCTTAAACTCTTTCATCTTTAATCCACACAAAAAAAATGAGAACGTGCAGTGTGACTGTAACATTCAGAGAATGACGCGATGCAACAGCTGCTCAGAAATGAGTTTTCTCAACCCAGATCTGGTTTCTATGCAAGCTAATTCCTAGGAACATCTAGTCAGCTTGGTGTTCATGCCTTTGGGTGACTGTTAATGGATGGACCGTGTGCCCAAGATGGTTGTTTAGATTTTTTGTTTTGCGATATTTGTGTTTCCTGTGTTCCTTTGGCCTGAATGGGACTTCCATCCTTCATTGGTATTTGCTTTCTTCAGTTGCAAGAGGTTTTTTGCCGAGTCAGCGTGCCCACAAACTAAGGCAAACTCTCCAGTCAGCAGCTGCACACCTCAACGTGTTGAACCTTTGCGGTCGCCTTAGAAACGACAGCAGCATCAGTCCTCACGCCGGGGATCCGGCGCTGTCATAAAGGACGTAATTAAAAACATTTTTCTACGCGCAGAGAGGACAGAGTGGATTTAGAGTTACAATAAAAACAGACAAACAATTGTTTGTTTTTCCGTGAGTGACAAATCGGGGAAGCGGAGCTCTCGACAGGCAATTCAGCTTGGGGAATATTTTCAGCAATAATTTGTTGTTTTTGAAGAACGTCGTTGGTCTGGCTACAGCAGACAATAACCATCTCTGCTCTGCTTAGATAAGGATGCCAGTTTGGTGTTGGGCATCTACTGTACAGCAGATTATTATCCATTGCTGCTCAAAACAGTCCCCAATGTTTCTTACATGAATAGAACTTTGGTATCAAATAGTGCAGCATATATATAGGCAGGTTTCCCTTCACTGAGAAAATCAGAAAAAAACACAAACGGGAAAACCTGAACAAAAGAAATTGTAAATCAGACATAATTTCACTGGAAAGTTAAGAAAAAACTATAGGCCGCGGCAGAAGTTAACTGAACCAGAACGTATCTTGAAGATACGTTCTGGTATTTTTCATACTTTCACATATATAGGAAATACATTTAACAAATTAAACCTTTTCTATTTTTGTTTTATGCATATCTGGCAGAAAAAAGCATCTGAAACCCAATGATCGCACCTATCAAAAGGTCCAGGACGAGTTGTAAAGAGGGCCCAAATGTGGGAAGCTGAAGCCTGGAGTCAGCAAATGTTCTGTGTGTGTGTGTGTGTGTGTGTGTGTGTGTGTGTGTGTGTCTGGAAAGGAACTTTCAGGTGATGATAGATTGGTAAGGACCAAACAAGGAGTTTCCATGTTGAACTAAAATACGACTAACTATGATTCGGTATTGTTAGAAATGCCACCTCTTTTGAAATTAAACTGAAAGAAGCAGCATCCTTTTTCAATTTGTTGAACATGATTCGGCACCCATTGCATGATGAAATAAATCAACATGACTGTGAATACTGCATGGAAGAAATATGGGAAGGAAAACTGAGAGGATAATCCGATGCGTGTTTTGAGGGGAGCCTAACTGCAGACTAAAGGCTCCATTGCAGTTCTGTTTTTGACATTCTTAACCTCAAAACAAAGCCAAACACACACAAAAGTTTAATCACCTTCAGGTAATCACATTCATGCCTGCATTTATCTTTGATATTAAGGATTTTCTGTTGAAGCACTTGTGAGAGCGGCAGACACACAGAAAGTGAGACAGACAATTACTACCAAGGCTTCTAAAATGGGAGCGATTTAAGAAAGGAAATCTCAACCGCCAAGCTCCACAATCAAAAAACATCAAACATCTAATTGTGTCAGGAGACAGAAATCCGGCGGTTAATGACACGCTGTTGAAACGGTTGGGCTGAAAAGGTGGGGCTAATTAAAAATAATGATCTGTGTGAGTAATGATCTACCAGCAAAAACCACTAATATCACAAACACTCCTCACAGCTTTCAACCCGCCGCCACTTTGTACGCCAGCTCAAAGTTTCCGCTCCAGTCAACCATGCTAACGTCTCTCCTAAACTTAGCGAATGACTTTAATCAGATTCGAACCTGGCTGGATTTAAACCCGCCCCCCCCCCCCCCCCTCCCCACCGCCGCATCCCAAACCCACCTCTTTTCTTTCTCTCCCTTGATGCTGCTGTGTGGAATGTGCTGACGCGGCACCATCACTCACCAGGAACCTGTGTCCTTATTCGGATAGCACGCCAAAAACGTGGGCTTTGTTGTTTCCATCAAAGTGCAGCATCACTGGAAAGGAAAATGGGGGAAAAAAGAAAGGCAAA